CAGAATACTGCCCTTGTCACAGGACAAGACATGAGGAATAATAAAAAGTACTTGGGGGTTGTGGTGCAGCCTGGAACTTTTTCTCAACCTTCTCTTTATAAAAGAGGGGGAGAAGAAATTATGAGACAGCGAAATATTCATGGGACAAACTAGACCACTCGAGAACGCCAACCACCTTTTTGTAAAAAGAATTTCCAAAATTCCAAGAAGAATAAGGAAGGTAAAAATGATAATAACGAAATCGCTCTCAAAGTTGCATTAATTTTGGACAAGTGTGGAAGGAGAAATAAAGAAAAAGGTTCAAAACTACACCTTTGGCTACATAGCTATTGAAATTTATCGTACGTAAAGTAGTGGTCAATGTTGTACTAATAGCTTTCTTAATGTTTTAGCGCTAATATAGATTGTCCTATAAATATTTCGCTATCCCATAATTTTTTTTCCTCTTTATAAAGAAGGGACTGAGGAAAAGTCCCAGGCCGCACCACAACCCCCAAGTAACAACAAAGCAACAGTAGAAAAATCCAAATATCGAAGACGGAAAGAGAAAGGAAGGACCATGACAGGAAGGAAGGAAAAAAAGAGGAAAAAAGATGGATGCACCGCGGATCGAACGCGGGACCGTCTGTAGAGCAAGATAGAAATTTCAATGCAAAACAGAAATCATACCACTAGACCATGCACCCATGGAACTTGAAATGGTATCCTTGGTAACAATACTAAGAAGGGCAAATCTTGTTACTGGGACTTGGCGCCAGCGCCTGACCAACGCATTGACCACCCAATGACAGCCTCAATCGCTCACACTTCGTGATCGTAATTCGATGGTCACTCTTTTCCACCAGCTCTGGAGTCTGACAAGACTGACACAACAATCGATCTCCAATCCCATTTCCCATTTTCCTTCCTGACACGGTCTCAGGTGATGAGCCAACTGACTGACTGTTTTAGCGGGATGCATTGGTACCTTGCACGAAAGCCACCGTAGCGACTGCAGCTGATCGGAAGTGATGAATCCAATATGTCGAATTGGGCATCACCGCGGGAGTTCCCAAAACTGCACTTTCGTTGATCCCCCACATTCGCTCCCGACGCCGCCATTGTGTGCGATGTCAACGTGCACTTTTTCCACACGATCAACACCATCCAACAATCGGCATTCCGCCTTTTCAGTATAACACCCGTTTCCGACGAATACCGTCCAAAACTCGGGCGACTCTTGCTTACAACCTTCCTCCCTTTCCGTCTAGGCACCTGTCAAAACCATCACCAACACAGCGTTGTTGGGCATCCAACAACTAACAACATCCCTTGACCTCGCGCAAACATTCAAGTTGTTTGGCGGGTACTGTATCCCGCGCAAGCCCCGATTGCCAGATGGACAGATCTCTTTCGATGACCCCATAGCCTCACGCGGCCTCAAAATAGGTAGGTTTGCGACACACCATGACACAACACAAAGCGGTCAGTCACAGACAATCAAACTGGAAGAGTCCTTCCTTCCATCGGCTCTGCACGCACGTGTCCGTTCGACCGGTGTCCCGGGCGGCAGTTGACCGTAGCTGTCTGGCCGGTGACAATCAATCAAGCTCACTCCGACGTGCTACTACACAATTGTGTATGACGCGCGTTTTCCATCGACAAGAAGCTGTAGAATTCTCGTGGAAGAAGTCCGCAAAAGCTGTGCAACGCCAGTCTGGAGATCCAAGTGGAAGAATCGACGATGCGGTGCAACCCCGTTGAAAGCGTTATCGCTATCGATAAAGGGCGGGCGATGCTTATCGGCAGGTACGTACCCTTCCATGCCCCATCCTCCAGCCATCAAGGTGTGTGGTACCTGACGGAAGGCACCCAACGCAACACACCCAAACTCAGGAAAGTCAAGTTTCAAGTTTTCAACGTAAGTCCGACAACTTGCAGTTGCTCACCGTCATTGCAGGAATTCTGGATTTCCGTTCCCGTTTTTCCTCCTTTTTACTTGCTCAAAGGTGTCATTCCAGTGGCAGTTCCCCGGCATGCCTCAACCCAACAGGCAATTGCGACCACAGCCCCTGCACTGTCGGACCTCGATTGTTGTTGGAGCGACGCACGTCAATGTTGTTGCCTTTCCCCAATTCCCCCCAAATTTTCTGCCAGCTTTCTCGACCAAAATTCAGGCAATGGCAGATAATTCAAGCCCCCGAAAAGCGACGCAGTCAGCCACAGGGGCAGAGGAGGCCTCTCAGGGAGTGTAGGTCCGGACCCCAAGTAGTCTGTCTCTCTTCCTCCGCATTTTCACGATTGTCGATCTGGGGGAGACAGTGCGACCAACGGGCCAGATGCGACCCTCTGAGGTTGCCCTGTTTAAACCATTCTCATTGGTCGAAGCTGCCAGATTACTAGTGTTATGGCGCACCCCCTGCTCGAAAACAAGCTGAGCTTATTTCAACTTGGCTCTTTGTTCTTTCCGTCTCGACGTTGCCGGCGCTCAGTCACTCTTGGCATTCATGGCTCCTGGAAATTAAAACGAGGAACAAAGTCAAAGCAAGGCCAACAACGTCCCGTCGGCATCTGATTTGCAAGGGGGGGATTTGGTTGCCTTGACCAATGCCAACCCAAAAGTTCGAACTCGGGTTGCTTTTTGTTACCAAAGTCTGGACGAAAGCAGCTGATGCGAGTCCTAACAACTTCAAACGGTGAAGTAATTTCCCCACATATTGTACGTAACCTGACAGCTCTCAGCTCAGCAAGCTCAGCAAGTTGAAGCTTCAGCATGCTCACCACACCTGATGTTGATGCACTCCTGCATTAGGTAAACTTGCAGTAGCCAACAACAACCGCTGTTCTTGTTTCCTACAATTCTTTGGGTCAGCTTTTCAAGTCCCAAATCCCCACCGCTAGAAGTCGAACAAGTCGAGCGCCAAGCTTCATTCAATTGCATCTAGGCTGCTCTTTTTCCTGCCGCTTTTACTTCCATGGTTTGGCGGCTGTTATTGGGTTCTGGAAATATGCCAAGCTCCAAGCCATGACATGCAATTTCTTGATATCACACTGGAGGTGCCTTTCCTCTTTGACTCCTTCCCTAACTCGGGTGATGAGAGGTTGGTCGGGCCTCACCTTTTATATGCACCTTCCAATCGACAGGACCGTGGAAATCTGGGTAATAAACCACATTTTCTAACATTGAGGACGCATGAGGGCCCCAGGCAGCCATGTGTCTTTGTGCATCAGTCTGCAATGTGCAATGACTGAATGACCGAACCCGTCGCCTTAATCTGCTAGGGAGAGACCTTATCTTCACATTCTTCGTTACCTTAGGCGTTCCTCAGGGCTATGCTGTGTGCCTTGGTCCCGGATGCCCCAAATCCAAGCTCTTTGTTCGTCCCGTCCCATGCTTATACCTAAGTAGACCTAGTGGGTGGAGAGCGCCTTCCGGTACTCCAACCTGTGGTGTGGTTTGTGCTTCTATCCCAACACAAGGTCAAACACGGCACCACGTCATTTCCAAGGCAGTACGTAGCACAACCCGGCAAGCATCCGCTTCACTGACTGCTTTCGTCAACTCTCCCCCTTCACTCTTTTTTCCTCAATTTCCCTTTGCCTTTCTTTCAACAGAAACTCCACCGAGATATCGATCTATCCAGCATCAACTAGAAAGAAGACATCTACTCAACAGCCCTCATGGCGGACCATGAGCCGCAGGGCAACCTGGTACGTCCCAGTGTTTACCCCCAAAACGCGTCCCCTTTGCAGGCGTCTTGACGGAATATCACATTCGCGTCACATTTGGTAGCTAACCATCGTTCCCTTGAAACAGCCCAAACGTGAAGGCTTTCAGCTAAACGTGAATGACGCTTTAACGCCGGATCCCGGCAAGGAAGGACTTTTCAAGGTCGAGAACAATCCCTTCGCCTACACACCAGGCCACCTTACAAAACTGCTTAATCCCAAAAGCCTCGATGCTTTCTACGCCCTGGGCGGCCTGGAGGGACTAGAGAAAGGATTACACACAAATCGCGATTCCGGTCTCAGCGCCGACGAGAAGAACGTCGATGGTCATGTCGCCTTCAAGGATGTCGCTCCCCAAGGAACTCCGCAATACGGCCAGCATGGCGACAACGTGCCCTTTGCTTCAGACAAACACGATGCTTCCATTCCGGAACCGCTTCCGCTCGACCATAAAGCCGGGGAAAGCTATGCCGATCGCCGCCGCGTTTACAGGGAAAACCGATTACCCGAGAAGAAGAGCAAAACACTCCTACAGCTGGCCTGGACTACGTACAACGACAAGGTGTTGATCCTGCTTACTATTGCTGCTGTCGTGTCCCTGGCCCTCGGTCTGTACCAGACATTCGGCGGCAAGCATGAACCAGGAGAGGCAAAGGTGGATTGGGTCGAGGGCGTGGCTATCATGGTGGCTATTATCATCGTGGTGCTAGTAGGCACGCTCAATGATTGGCAGATGGAGAGGCAGTTCAACCAGCTCAACAAGAAACACAACGACCGCACCGTCAAGGTTATTCGCTCGGGAAAGTCTGTCGAGATTTCCGTTTTCGACGTCATGGTGGGCGACGTAATGCATCTGTTTGCAGGCGATCTTATTCCCGTTGACGGCATTTTCATCAACGGCCATGGTGTCAAATGCGACGAGAGCTCCGCCACGGGCGAATCTGACCTGCTCAAGAAGACGGGCGCTGACGAAGTGTTTGCTGCACTGAAAGACGTCGCCGACGGAAGGACTCCCAGAGAGGACATCCACAAGCTGGATCCGTTTATTATTTCCGGCAGCAAAGTCAATGAGGGAACCGGTACCTTTCTCGTAACAGCCGTCGGCATTTTCTCGAGCTATGGCCAAATTTCCATGGCCATGCAGACCGAGCAGGAAGACACCCCGCTGCAGAAGAAGTTGAACACTCTCGCCGATTGGATCGCCAAGTTTGGTGGTGGCGCAGCGCTTGTCCTCTTCATTGTTTTGTTCATCAAGTTTTGTGTCCAGTTGCCGGGCAACCACGAATCGGCGGACCAAAAGGGACAGGCCTTTTTACGCATCTTCATCACTTCTGTCACGGTTGTTGTTGTCGCTGTCCCAGAGGGTCTTCCTCTGGCAGTGACGCTGGCCCTCGCGTTTGCAACCACTCGAATGATGAAGGACAACAATCTTGTCCGCGTGCTCAAGGCCTGTGAGACCATGGGTAACGCGACAACGGTATGTTCCGACAAGACTGGAACCCTGACTCAGAACAAGATGACGGTGGTTGCGACCACTCTTGGCAAGAGTCTCAGCTTTGGCGGCACGGATAAGCCGTTGGAAGAGCCTGAGTCGGACAAAGAGAAGGGACCGGAGGCGATGACCGCCCCGAATAGCGTGCCGAACATGCCCGTGACCGACTTTGCCAGCGAACTCAGCAAGACGACCAAGAAGATTCTCAACCAAGCCAATGCCGTTAATTCGACCGCGTTCGAGGGTGATGAGGATGGCGAGAAGACGTTTATCGGTTCCAAAACTGAGGTGGCTCTGCTCACGTTCTGCCGTGACCATCTCGGGGCCGCACCGGTGGAGGAGGAGCGCAAGAATGCTGATATTGTCCAGGTCGTTCCTTTCGATTCGAAGTATAAGCTGATGGCCACCGTCGTTAAACTTCCGAACGGCAAATATCGCGCATACGTCAAGGGTGCTTCCGAAATTCTTCTCAAGCAATGCTCCACGGTTATTGCCAACCCGAACGAGGACGAAATACGTACTGTCGAGATTACCGATGAAGATCGCAAGATGTTCTTACACACTATCGCCTCATATGCCGGCCAAACCCTTCGTACGATTGGTTCCTCCTACCGTGAATTCGACAACTGGCCCCCTCCGGAGCTCGAAGGCCACGAAGAACTGACGGCCGACGAATTCGCCAAGGTCCATCATGACATGACGCTCGTAGCCATCTTTGGCATCAAAGATCCCTTGCGTCCGCAGGTCATTGGTGCCATCAAGGACTGTAACCGCGCTGGCGTGTACGTTCGTATGGTGACTGGCGATAATCTCTTGACCGGCAGCGCAATCGCAAAGGAATGCGGTATCTACAAGCCCGAGGAGGGTGGAATTGCCATGGAGGGCCCTGATTTCCGAAGACTATCCGAAGATAAGCTCCTCGAAGTCGTACCGAATCTCCAGGTGCTCGCTCGCTCCAGCCCCGAGGACAAGAAAATCCTTGTTCGTACTCTTAAGCAGCTGGGAGAGACGGTGGCGGTCACTGGCGATGGAACGAACGACGCGCCAGCTCTCAAGATGGCGGATATTGGCTTTGCCATGGGTATTGCTGGCACGGAAGTCGCAAAGGAGGCTGCTTCCATCATTTTGATGGACGATAACTTTGCGTCCATTGTCAAGGGTATCAGCTGGGGTCGTGCGGTGAATGATGCCGTGAAGAAGTTTTTGCAGGTAAGCACTGTGCTCTTGGCCCAAATGCTGGCTAAGCTAACGAGATGTCAACAGTTCCAACTTACCGTCAACATTACGGCCGTAGCCTTGACCTTTATCTCCGCCGTTTCCAACGACGAAGAACAGTCCGTCCTGAACGCAGTTCAGCTTCTCTGGGTGAATCTGATCATGGACACCTTCGCGGCTCTTGCCTTGGCAACCGACCCTCCTTCACACACCGTCCTCGACCGCAAGCCGGATCGCAAATCCGCGCCGTTGATCACCACCAGGATGTGGAAGATGATTATTGGTCAGGCTATTGCCCAACTCGCCATCACTCTCTGCCTCTACTTTGGTGGCCGTTCCCTCCTCGGCTACAATATGTCGGACCCCACTGAATCCAAACGCCACAGCACCTTTGTTTTCAACACCTTCGTCTGGCTCCAGATCTTCAACGAACTGAACAACCGCCGTCTCGACAACAGGCTCAACATCTTCGAGGGCATTACGCGCAACTACTTCTTCTGGGTCATCAACGCCATCATGATCGGCGGACAAGTTCTCATCATCTTCGTCGGCGGGGAAGCCTTCAAGATTACTCGTCTGAACGGCAAGGAATGGGGCATGTCTATCGGGCTCGGTGCCATTTCCGTTCCCTGGGGTGCGTTGATCCGCAAGTTCCCCGATCGCTGGGCCGAGGCCATCGTGCCGCATGTGCATATCCCGATGCCCAAGATCTTTAAGCGCAAGAAGAAGGAGGAAGCGGATCCCGAGAAGCAGGGACTGGAGAGACCACCCCCACCTCCGGGTAGAGTACATACTGGACTCAGAAGTCAAAGAGCGAGGGTGCACAGTTCGAGGTTGGGCAGGAGTTGGTCTTAGGTGGACGGGAAGGTGATGCCCAGCCTGAGTCGGAGGTCCATGAACGATATGCGGCTGGCGAAGGCTTGGTAATAAGCGATTAGAATAAGAGGTTGGACTGTTGCAGTACTGTAGGGAGTTGGGGGTTTGGGTTTTATACCTACACTATACGATTACTAATGATTTCGGTGGGGTTGGGTGTAATGGAAGTGGAAGGCTTTTTTATTTGTTTCGGTTAGTGTTAGAAACATGAATACGTTTATATCTTTACGGCAACAGCGGTGTGTTTGTATCCTTTCCTCGCGATGATATCTGGGTGTTCCTGGGAATCGGTAACAAGCGTTCAATACACGAGGGGCTGCCAGCAGCTTTCCAGTTCCATCTGCTTCCTCCACGAGGTCCAAAACTTCAGTTGAAATACCTCCCTCTCTTCATCCATCTTCAGTCCCACTCCCTTGGTTTGCTTCCAATCTCTAACTATACCTAGGTGGACTCATCTTTGTGTAAGGCCACAAAACAAGCCATATCGTTCATTCGTTTTCGTATGGGCGACCTTCATGTTCTTCATCTCCTCCCAACTTACCACATAATCATTTATCATGCCGTCCCCACCACCCCTCATGCGACTCGCTCCCAATGAACCCAGCTCCCTGCCTTTTGGTCCATCGATATAAGGTAAGAACCGCCAGGCCTCTGGATAACAGCCCAAGTGGACATGCTATCGCTGACGGCACTAGTAAAGGATCGGTCGTTCACGAGGTCAATTCTGCAGGATAGCCAGTTATCGTATTACATTACTTGGTTATAGAGATAATCTTTTATATTGCTCGGTGGTGCTACGTTTCTCAGGTCTGTGTTGTGTCACCTGTGTTTGAGACTTTGAGAGTGGTTGTGACGGATGCAGCTGAAGCAGCTCTGGTGAGCGGTGTCTTCTTCATTTTGTTGGTCATGGTCATGGTCATGGCTGGCTACCAGGTCCAGACAGCAGGAGGTAGGAGGCTGGTTGTCGCTCGATTTTCGGTGTTGCCTGTAGGTAGGTAGCGTCTGGGGTAGCGTCTGGGACTTTGGGAGGTGTGAGGAGAAGCGAGAAAGCGAGAGAACTAGTGGAATACTAGTGGAAGGAACGAGAGAGATACATGCTGTCTTCCGACTGGAGGTGGTACCGGTGAATGCTGGTCCTTGGTCGTGGGACTTTGGACTTTTGGGGAAGGAATAGGTAAGTATCTTCCGTGGACCGTGGGATCTGTGGTGGACTCGGATGTCATTGTGATAGAACGACGGCGTCAACGGGTAGGAGTGGGCGACGGACTGTTTGAATGACCTAGCAGGTACGATCTGTACCTAAGTGAGAAGAACTTGGTATTGACTACTGAGGAGGAAAGAACAACCTAAGGTATGGTCTCTTAGGGTGACTATGTGACTCCTTCCTTATGTGTGTTCCAGTTGTGTATGAGCTTTCGCAGGAGTCTGAGTGATTGTGACAAGGGCAGTTTGATGGTTGGCTCGCTAGCCTGAAGGCGTCGAGAGGGGCTTGGGTGAGCAATGCTGGTAGCTGAGAGTCTGGCCAAAGTGAGGTTGAGCCTCGCGGCCTGCGGCCGCCGGGCATTCATGAGGCTGATGTCAGGCATTGAGACTCTGCTAAGCCTCGGCAACCCTAACCCAGAACTATGGGCAAATGTCCGTGTGACAGTGATCAAGTGATCAAGTGAGTGATCAAAACATGATTGGAAAACAGCCGTTTAATGGACCGGGCAGTTCCAACGGGCAGTGTTGCTCGTGAGTCGTGACGAATAACCGCCGAAGTTGGTGTGGATCCTTGAATAGGTATCAACAAGTGCACCTACCATGTATGGTATCTGTCAATCTTCATTCTCCAACCGGCGGCTATGTCACTCTTCGTCGATGTTTTGAGACGCGAGGTACATATTTGGGGGCTCCGGATCGCGCTTCACTTTCTTTATATACTCTACTCAATTCAAATGCCGTATCGCCTTTCCTCTCCGTACGCAGACTCACCGCTTAAACGCCAAATCTTCAAAAGTGTGAACGTGACTGATCGTGCGTCGTGGGGCCAGGTTCAGAAATGGGAAATTTCAAACGTCAAGTAGTTTGGAGAATGGAACACAAGGCAGGGCATTGGGAATCATGGGGATTGTAAGTACTCTGAGTATTGGGAGATGTATTAGAGGCAGGAGTCCATCATCTGCCAAGCTTTTCGAAGGCATCGCAAGGTGCACTTGCTATGACTGTGCGTGCCAGGCGTGTCTGCCGCATGACAACTGAATCATCCTTCACAGCCCAGGACCCTCAGCAGTCCTCATCCATATCACGTTCCGTCGGTAGTTCTTTCCTGAACTCAACAAGAAGTTCAAACGGATCTCCGTCATCAAACTCCGGGTCCCAGTTCGACCTTGACACCCGCAGCGCTTCGTTTATATCTTCAATGTTTTCCCTCTCTCCCTTCTTGGACTCCTTCTACCTCGCCCTGCACCTCGCGAGCCTAGCCACTACAGTTGGATCCGGCTCAACCTCCCTCGTCAGATCGGTCCTGAACTTATGAAGGTCCAACCCTATACTCTTGGCATCATAATGGTAAGACATCTTCATTAAGTCGTAATCGGCGGCCATCTCCTTGACTCGCTTGGTGTACATGTCTTTGGTCCAGGTGTTCAAGAACAGATTGATGGCCTCGTCGCGGACTTGGTACGCCCTGTTTCTGGCTTGGTCCGTTTGGAATGTTTCAGAAGGGGGGTCTAACGCCTCTGGTTTTAGAATACTGAATGGAGGACCGAGGAGTTTACATCTTTTTTTTCGAGACCACTAAGGACCAGCTCAGAAGGCCCAATGGCGTTTATCAGACTGAAAGCACTAGCTAGTGCGAGATATTCCTTCAGGAGACGGACAAGTAGGTAGTAATGGACTTCGGTTGCCTTATGAGTGTGAGTGTCCTTTTGGAAGGCCTTGGTGAAGAGATCAAGGAGTCCAATTTGAGCGTGGCGGGTGGGGTGGGTGTGGTGGTTCTGCCGATGTTGATTAGAAACTGTTGGTGAAGGGAGATGTGCGTGCAAATTGAATGGTTTGCAGACTTCGGAAGAGAAACAGGGTACCTGGCCAAGAATATATAATGGATGTTCGACTCTAACTCATGCCCTGTTGGACCAGGCGCGCCAACGGGTCTTAAACATTACAAAGAAGACTGATGAAAGCAAACGTTTGACGTACCCAATACCGATATCGACCAACAGGCTAACCAACCGCTTCGACTTTCCAGAATCCAGATCGCCAACCAGCAGAATCAACCTTCTTTGTGTGAGTATTCCCTTGGATCACCACGATGGTTAAGCCCAATGAACGGGCGGTAATCTAACTGCAGGAAGCAGATGTGAATGAACTCCTGCTCTTAGTAAGTGCTAAGGGGAAAACACTACAGCAATCAGTTGTTGGCACCCTTCCCTTCTCCAGTACCTGTAATGATCCTGTGCATCTTTCATTAGACTTCCATCAACCGATTTCTCCATCTTCCGTGTGTCCCAGTTCTCCCTAACCTATCTTCTCAACTCGTTCACCCCTTCAGCTTCGCTCCTTGACCCTCACCACCTTCGGTAGTACATCCACCCCCGCCATGGGCAGCAACAGCCACTACAGTCTCGGTCTCAGTCTCAGTACCAGCAAGTCGTTCTGCCACTTGCCTCTCACGAGCAGACCTCATTCGCATTCCCCGCCCAATCCGCCTATGCCAAACTTAGAACATGTTTTCCTACTTTGTTATCCAGTTAGAAGCTGCCCCCTTTCTTCACCTGGCCCTGAACTATCCACCCAGTTAGTCCACTACTTGGTCTTCAACTATCCCCTTCCAGCCCCATGACAGCTCTAGGAGGGACTTATCGATGCCAAATTCATCAAACAATTTGTTGTAGTGCGCGTTAAAGTCTCTTATTAGGTCGAGATCATTGACTCCATGAACCGCGGGGCAAAAGTGTGGGCGAAGTCATCTTTGAATATGGAGGTTACCCGAGCGAGTTGGTAAGGTAGTTACTGAGCGGCTGAGCCAGATGGGCCAGGGCTTATTGCAGTGAGATTCTCAGCAGAAGCAGCAGGTTGGCGTATTCATGAGCTTGCGGTACTAATTTGATAGGTGACAATGGGATTGAGAGTGGAGGCGATGCTGAAATTGATGCTTCATTGGGAGAAGCCGCAGGG